ACCATGGAAGTCCAGTTTACCATGGAAGTCCAGTTTATCATGGGAGTCCAGTTCACCATGGGAGTCAAGTTCACCATGGGAGTCCAGTTTACCATGGAAGTCCAGTTTACCATGGAAGTCCAGTTTACCATGGGAGTCCAGTTTACCATGGGAGTCCAGTTTACCATGGAAGTCCAGTTCACCATGGAAGTCCAGTTTATCATGGAAGTCCAGTTTACCATGGAAGTCCAGTTTACCATGGAAGTCAAATTTACCATGGGAGTCGATTTTATCATGGAAGTCCATTTTATCATGGAAGTACAGTTTACCATGGGAGTCCATTTTATCATGGAAGTCCAGTTTACCGTGGCAGTCCAGTTTATCATGGGAGTCCAGTTTACCATGGAAGTACAGTTTTCCATTGGAGTACAGTTTATCATTGAAGTCCAGTTCACCATGGGAGTCGAGTTCACCATCGGAGTCCAGTTTACCATGAGAGTCCAGTTTACCATGGGAGTCCAGTTTATCATGGAAGTCCATTTTATCATGGAAGTACAGTTTACCATGGGAGTCCATTTTATCATGGAAGTCCAGTTTACCGTGGAAGTCCAGTTTACCGTGGAAGTCCAGTTTATCATGGGAGTCCAGTTTACCATGGGAGTCCAGTTTACCATGGAAGTACAGTTTACCAAGGGAGTTCAGTTTATCATTGAAGTCCAGTTTACCATGGAAGTCCAGTTTACCATGGGAATCGAGTTTACCATGGAAGTCCAGTTTACCATGGAAGTCCAGTTCACCATGGGAGTCCAGTTTACCATGGAAGTCCAGTTTACCATGGAAGTCCATTTTATCATGGGAGCCCAGTTTATCATGGAAGTCCAGTTTACCATGGAAGTCGAGTTTACCATGGAAGTCCAGTTCACCATGGGAGTCCAGTTTACCATGAAAGTCCAGTTTACCATGGGATTCCAGTTTACCATGGGAGTCGAGTTTAACTTGGGAGTCCAGTTTATCATGGAAGTCCAGTTTACCATGGAAGTCCAGTTCACCATGGGAGTCGAGTTTACCATGGAACTCGAGTTTACCATGGAAGTCCAGTTTACCATGGAAGTCCAGTTTATCATGGAAGTCCAGTTTACCATGGGAGTCCAGTTTACCATGGAAGTCCAGTTTACCATGGAAGTCCAGTTTACCATGGAAGTCAAATTTACCATGGGAGTCCATTTTATCATGGAAGTCCATTTTATCATGGAAGTCCAGTTTACCATGGGAGTCCAGTTTACCATGGGAGTCCAGTTTACCATGGAAGTCCAGTTTACCATGGAAGTCAAATTTACCATGGGAGTCCATTTTATCATGGAAGTCCATTTTATCATGGAAGTACAGTTTACCATGGGAGTCCATTTTATCATGGAAGTCCAGTTTACCGTGGAAGTCCAGTTTACCGTGGAAGTCCAGTTTATCATGGGAGTCCAGTTTACCATGGGAGTCCAGTTTACCATGGAAGTACAGTTTACCAAGGGAGTTCAGTTTATCATTGAAGTCCAGTTTACCATGGAAGTCCAGTTTACCATGGGAATCGAGTTTACCATGGAAGTCCAGTTTACCATGGAAGTCCAGTTCACCATGGGAGTCCAGTTTACCATGGAAGTCCAGTTTACCATGGAAGTCCATTTTATCATGGGAGCCCAGTTTATCATGGAAGTCCAGTTTACCATGGAAGTCGAGTTTACCATGGAAGTCCAGTTCACCATGGGAGTCCAGTTTACCATGAAAGTCCAGTTTACCATGGGATTCCAGTTTACCATGGGAGTCAGTTGAGTTTAACTTGGGAGTCCAGTTTATCATGGAAGTCCAGTTTACCATGGAAGTCCAGTTCACCATGGGAGTCGAGTTTACCATGGAACTCGAGTTCACCATGGGAGTCCAGTTTACCATGAAAGTCCAGTTTACCATGGGATTCCAGTTTACCATGGGAGTCAAGTTCACCATGGGAGTCCAGTTTACCATGGAAGTCCAGTTTACCATGGAAGTCCAGTTTACCATGGAAGTCCAGTTTATCATGGAAGTCCAGTTTACCATGGAAGTCCAGTTCACCATGGGAGTCAAGTTCACCATGGGAGTCCAGTTTACCATGGAAGTCCAGTTTACCATGGAAGTCCAGTTTACCATGGAAGTCCAGTTCACCATGGAAGTCCAGTTTATCATGGAAGTCCAGTTTACCATGGAAGTCCAGTTTACCATGGGAGTCCAGTTTACCATGGAAGTCAAATTTACCATGGGAGTCCATTTTATCATGGAAGTCCATTTTATCATGGAAGTACAGTTTACCATGGGAGTCCATTTTATCATGGAAGTCCAGTTTACCGTGGCAGTCCAGTTTATCATGGGAGTCCAGTTTACCATGGAAGTACAGTTTTCCATGGGAGTACAGTTTATCATTGAAGTCCAGTTTACCATGGAAGTCCAGTTTACCATGGAAGTCCAGTTTACCATGGAAGTCCAGTTTACCATGGAAGTCCAGTTTACCATGGAAGTCCAGTTTACCATGGGAGTCCAGTTTACCATGGGAGTCAAGTTTACCATGGAAGTCCAGTTTACCATGGAAGTCCAGTTTACCATGGGAGTCAAGTTCACCATGGGAGTCAAGTTCACCATGGGAGTCCAGTTTACCATGGAAGTCCAGTTTACCATGGAAGTCCAGTTTACCATGGGAGTCAAGTTTACCATGGAAGTCCAGTTCACCATGGAAGTCCAGTTTATCATGGGAGTCAAGTTCACCATGGGAGTCAAGTTCACCATGGGAGTCCAGTTTACCATGGAAGTCCAGTTTACCATGGAAGTCCAGTTTACCATGGGAGTCCAGTTTGCCATGGGAGTCGAGTTTACCATGGAAGTCCAGTTCACCATGGAAGTCCAGTTTATCATGGAAGTCCAGTTTACCATGGAAGTCCAGTTTACCATGGGAGTCCAGTTTACCATGGAAGTCCAGTTTACCATGGAAGTCAAATTTACCATGGGAGTCCATTTTATCATGGAAGTCCATTTTATCATGGAAGTACAGTTTACCATGGGAGTCCATTTTATCATGGAAGTCCAGTTTACCGTGGCAGTCCAGTTTATCATGGGAGTCCAGTTTACCATGGAAGTACAGTTTTCCATGGGAGTACAGTTTATCATTGAAGTCCAGTTTACCATGGAAGTCCAGTTTACCATGGGAATCGAGTTTACCATGGGAGTCCAGTTTACCATGGGAGTCGAGTTTACCATGGAAGTCCAGTTCACCATGGAAGTCCAGTTTATCATGGGAGTCAAGTTCACCATGGGAGTCGAGTTCACCATGGGAGTCCAGTTTACCATGGAAGTCCAGTTTACCATGGAAGTCCAGTTTACCATGGGAGTCCAGTTTACCATGGGAGTCGAGTTTACCATGGAAGTCCAGTTCACCATGGAAGTCCAGTTTACCATGGAAGTCCAGTTTACCATGGAAGTCCAGTTTACCATGGAAGTCAAATTTACCATGGGAGTCGATTTTATCATGGAAGTCCATTTTATCATGGAAGTACAGTTTACCATGGGAGTCCATTTTATCATGGAAGTCCAGTTTACCGTGGCAGTCCAGTTTATCATGGGAGTCCAGTTTACCATGGAAGTACAGTTTTCCATTGGAGTACAGTTTATCATTGAAGTCCAGTTCACCATGGGAGTCGAGTTCACCATCGGAGTCCAGTTTACCATGAGAGTCCAGTTTACCATGGGAGTCCAGTTTATCATGGAAGTCCAGTTTACCATGGGAGTCGAGTTTACCATGGAAGTCCAGTTTACCATGGAAGTCCATTTTACCATGGAAGTCCAGTTTACCATGGGAGTCCAGTTTTCCATGGGAATCCAGTTTACCATGGAAGTCCAGTTTACCATGGAAGTCCAGTTTACCATGGGAGTCCAGTTTACCATGGGAGTCGAGTTTACCATGGAAGTCTAGTTCACCATGGAAGTCCAGTTTATCATGGGAGTCCAGTTTACCATGGGAGTCCAGTTTACCATGGAAGTCCAGTTTACCATGGAAGTCAAATTTACCATGGGAGTCCATTTTATCATGGAAGTCCAGTTTACCATGGAAGTCCATTTTATCATGGGAGTCCAGTTTATCATGGAAGTCCAGTTTACCATGGAAGTCGAGTTTACCATGGAAGTCCAGTTCACCATGGGAGTCCAGTTTACCATGAAAGTCCAGTTTACCATGGGATTCCAGTTCACCATGGGAGTCGAGTTTACCATGGAAGTCGAGTTTACCATGGAAGTCCAGTTTACCATGGAAGTCCAGTTTATCATGGAAGTCCAGTTTACCATGGAAGTCCAGTTCACCATGGGAGTCGAGTTCACCATCGGAGTCCAGTTTACCATGGGAGTCCAGTTTACCATGGGAGTCGAGTTTACCATGGAAGTCCAGTTTACCATGGAAGTCCAGTTTGTCATGAGCAGGAGTCAGCAACCTGTGGCTACAGAGCATCATGCGGCTCTTCAAGGACTGCTTTGTGAAGTTATTTATTCAGGACCACCGTCTTGTATTCACCACATGCATTGCAGCTCGTGAAAGAGGTTTTTTTTTATCGACTTAAAAAAAAAGCCTCTTATTGTTATTTTATTTGCCGACCCCTGTGCTAGATTATGTCCCCCACGTAGACTTAGGACTCAATCTACTTTAAAACGTGTCACTGTCAAGCTGACCTTCATTTTATCGTAGCTGCCATTAGAAAAAAGCCACATGCTCCATTGTTTCGCGTGAAAGCCTAAACGTTCCAAAATATTAGAAAAATTGTATTCATAGAGCATCTAAATACAGCTGCATCTCAAGATGCTGTTCGATAATATATCAATAACTTGGAGTAAAAGAAAACGTAAACAATAGTCTGTACTAAAGTATGTACGTGACTCGAATTCAGCGTACTCCGATGAGAAATGTCGCCTTCATTTCCCACGTCTGCGTGATGAGTGAGAAATAATGGTGGATTGTTCCGCAGAGACACTCGGCGACTGAAAAGAAACCCGAAAAGAAACCCCAAAAGACGAGAACTTCACTCAAATCCAAACAAAAACCTCTGCCCGATCCTGCTCGTGATGCACTAACAACCGGGACGTGCGGGCAGCTTCAAGAGGCATCTGACGGAACTCTCAGCATAACCAGCTCCGCCGATGAAGGGGAGCACGACAAGACGGACGCTGCAGGCTCAGAGGCCAATAATGAACGCCAGGAATCCCCAAACAAACACTTTCCAAGAGGCATCTCGATGTTTTGTCCAGCGTTCTTCAGCAATGGGGCTTCAGAGGTATCCACGATACAGTGTACATTATTCTAAAATTCACTCTCATCCACTCAATTTTCATCAAGCAAACCCATGTCCGTTCACAGCGATTCCAAACAATCGTACGGAGAATAATGATGAAGGCAGTGCGTGGGCGTTGTTTGATCATACTTTACCATGCTGGTCTATGCGGGTTGGTGAAGGGTGCAGAGCCCAGGACCTGTTCAGGTATCACTTACCACTGATTCGATTCATAATTCGGTGCCCGAAAGGGCTTTGTGGCCATTGCGCTGTTCCCCGTATGCGTACAGCTCACGCGTGCGTTACATTTATCACCGGTTATGCCAATCCACTGTGGTCAGGAATCAAACTAAGGTCACCAGGTTCATAGCAAAGTCTGCAAAACACTGTTGCACCCCGATCACATGTATGTCCTGTATTGTTTCAGCTCCAAGATTCTTACTCATTTCATTGCTATATCCTTCGTATAGCAACCATCACCTTAAGCACATTAGGGAATGGCACCGTGTAAGGGATGTGAAGAGTCTGAAAATTAAAATGTGACCAACATTGTCAGTTTTTCATATTCTAGTGAAGATTGAACTGGCCTAGAGGTGCAGCATTAGATTGCACAGCTGCACATGTAGAAACATGCGTTTAGAGCATTTGGCTACTATAAATTTCCACGTGACAAGCCACTTCGTTGAGCTATCGTTTGTGGCCAGGTCGCTTCTGGAAAAAGAGCTACATAGCTCAGTGGGGCCTTACCTGGTAAGATAAAAAAATAGCTTAGTTTTTAGAGTGGGATACCACTCTGATCTTTTTATACTAAAGATAGGAGGGATTACCACTATGGTAACGTATTGCTCAGAATAATAGGCAACACATATCAGGTTGTCTCAAACTTTTCTAATTTTTTGTCGTTTTCTTAAATTTTCTAGCCAATGATGCCATCCCTTTGCTGGATTCCTTTTGGATGTGACCCAGCTGTCACGGGCTGGCCCAGTGGGGAACCAGCGATGCACCAGCAACGATCGCAACACACAGCAGGTGGGAATGCCACAACCTGTCAGCACTGCGATGCAGCCACCACGCACATACCTCGCGACCCAAGAACGTTCTGTGCAAACAAATACGATAGTTCTCTTGCAGATGAAAGCAGCCATTCCAGTACACTTGATGTGTTTTTTATATTATTCCCTTTCCGGAAATGTCAGGTGGGAACTTGTGCACGTTTGATACGTGGCAGGTTTTTTTTTGTGGTGGATGTTGCCGGCATTGACCTCTCAGGGCACTTATTGTTGGGGGATAATTTTAGAACTTTCGTTCACCTGCTTTAAAACGTTACATCAGTGGTGGCCGAAAACATTTAAAAGACCTTTCCCACCAGTAATTGTTTGGCATACACCGATGCATCGATTCATCAACTGCAATAATTTCTTAAGCTCACGACACATGCATCGAATCACGTGCGTGAGAGTAGATTATTTACGTACTAGGCAAATAGTATGTGAATTACAAACGAATGTTATATTTATGATAGCAGTGTGAATAAAACTGCAAACAAGACAAGAAAAAACGATTAACAATTCCAATTGGGACAGTAAAAACAAACATAAAATAATCAAATTTTGAATAAACTCATGACCCTGGATCATGACAGTTCATAAAATTGCTTGTGGGATGAAACTTTACATACCTAACAAATATCATCAGCATTGCTCGATCAGCTGGATGAAGGCCTTCCCAGTCCAACGCCATCTTTCACGATCCTGCGATGTAGCAATCTAGCCGGACGCCTGTACACGAGCTGATTTCATCCCATGGTGGATGTCCTCTGGGCACATTCGAGTCCTTGGATGCCATTATCTTTGCCATGATTATTTTTCATTGTGCGCCATCATCCCTTCTAGCGACGGATGACGGTTGATAGTCAAGGATCATTCTGTGTACGTACGTATATTTGTATGTTGAACTTCTTTCGCACACCGTACGTAGCCAACCGTGCTAATCGGAGGTGCGGGGGAAGGACAACAAACTAAACACAAAAAACACTTTTAGAGAAATTAGTTGTCAATCTAAATTTAAAAGTACAGAGCTTTAGTAGCTTCATAATATCGGAAATAATAGCATTCTAGACGGCCGCAGAAGCGCATCTGAAAGCGCGTGACGCTGTGACCATCTTTGTTCGATGGTTAACCAAAATCCGCTGCGATGATGACCGGAGTTTGCATGATGTTGTATGCTCCATGACAAAAACATCTCTTTGAAACGTCCCTTTGTAAAGTGTGCGTGCGCTTGTTTCAGTAAATTTGTAATGACTGTAATCAATTGGACTGTAGCTGATTAAATGTTTTTATTTGCTTTTGCAGGAAATACCCCTACGCGCGTGAGCGCGGGTTCTACACCAGCGCCCTACCTCATGCCCCTGCCCATGCAGGGCTTCCCCGCGTGTATGGTACCACCTGGCTTCTTCACGATTGGCACTGCCCCCCAGGGTCTCAGTGGCGGAGCAGAGGGCCCTTTCTGTGGCATTCCATGGCCCAACATGGGGATGTTGCCGGGAACAGGAATGCCCTTCCACATGGGCCCTGTAGCCTGGCTTCCTGGGTGCGATTCGCACTGAACAAGAAGCACTTCTCTCTTAGATTCATGTCATGGAGAATACGTGTTTATTTTTTTTTTTACAAATGTACATAAGTAGGAGGACAAAATGAATTTTACGTGCGTTTACTTTACATCAAATGTGCCTAAAATTAGTATTTTACTTTGGTTCAGGTCGGTTGGTTGGAATTCCCCAAAAAATGGAAATCAGTTTTTTTCGATGAATTACCACAGCAAGGGAATGTCCTGCACACGGGACCTGTAGCCTGGCTTCCAGGGTGCGATTTACAGAAAACAATACATTCTATGTTCGATTCTAATTTTAAGGTGATGTAGAATATAGATGTTTTAATTGCGTATGTATGTTTTACACATGTACAGATGAAGATGGAAAAAAATAATTTATGTAAGTTTACTCTTTCAAAGGTGCCTAAAATTAGTATTTTACTTTAAAGGAGGGGGGGCTGGTGGTTGTTTTCAAGAATTCCCATATCAACATATCATAAAAGTGGAAGTTTTTAATTAATTATACATTGCTGAAATAATATTTCGATGCCTTCGTTAACAAAAAATATCGTGATAAAATTTTCCTTCCAATTACGTATATAGCCTCATACAGCAGGCCTTGTGAGTGGTTTAGTCTATAGAACAAATGAACATTGTGTTTGTTGTTGTTTAACTTTGCTTGAGTACAAGCCATGGAGTAGCGGTGCAGTCGTCAGAGGCAGTGTGCTATTAATTTGGTGACCTGAGTTTGATGACCGGTCAAGGCTATCATCAGTGGTAAGTGATATATGAACCGATTCTGGTAATCCCTCATTCACCGACCCAAACTGGCCAATGTGGTGAGGCATGGTCAAACAACTTCCACGATTGAGGGATGTGAGAAGGCCTACAAAAATTAAATAACAAAGTGCTATGACTGATTAATTAGACAATGAGTGCAAGCCATACCTTAATAGAATATATATTTATCGTTATCGTTACTTAACTCATTAACCCTCCACTCACAATAGCAAAAATGTGATTACCAATTATCTGCAGTGTATGCGTGCTGTTTCGTGTTACGCATGGGCACATTAACTCTAATTTAGAAATACGACCTGGCGTTTGCTCCATGTCTCTTTAAAACTTACTTGTCTAATGTATTTACAGGAAGCGTGTATATCATATTCATGAACGTTACATTTGTATCATTCTAATAAACTATTTATTTAAAAACTTCTGCACTGCAGTACTGGGTTGATAGATTACAGTGTAACAAAAACATTTTTTGTTCCTGGGTAGTAAGTGTTATTTCCTAATTGATTATGCCTCAAAAGTACAGAAAATGGCTATTATTCCCCACAAACTTTGCTTTTGTGACCAGGATGGTGATATTTCGAAATTTACCTATTTTGAATGAGAAAACGGGCGAATTTGTGTCTTTTCGTTCACATAAAGTCATAAAATAACACATATAAATCAAAATTAACATGTATTTATACTAAAGTTATACAAAAATGACTGCAAAAGATTTAGACACCAAGGCGCACTACCACAGGCGGGACTGGCCACATCGGACCGAGTTCTCTGTGGGGAGAAACAACGTCAAGTGGGAGCCACTGGTGGACCCCCAGAAGGTGCTGATGCCACCACTGCACATCAAATTGGGCCTTGTGAAACAATTTGTCAGAGCTGTAGATAAGGAGTCGGCAGCCTTCAAGTACCTTCAAGACTTCTTCCCTAAGCTGTCTGAGGCAAAGGTCAAAGCCGGTGTCTTCGTCGGACCACAGATAAAGAAGATCCTGGAGTGCAATGAATTCCCCAAGAAGCTCATTAGTAAGGAGAAAGCAGCTTGGAACAGCTTTGTCGCAGTGGTTCGTGGCTTCCTGGGCAATCACAAGGTCGAAAACTATGTGGAGCTGGTTGAGACTCTGGTGAAGAACTACGGCACAATGGGCTGTAGGATGTCTCTCAAAGTCCATATCCTTGATGCTCATCTTGATACATTCAAGGAGAACTGGGAGCGTACTCGGAGGAGCAAGTCCAGTATATCCATCAGGATATACTGGACTTTGAACGCCGCTACGAAGGACAGTATAACGAGAACATGATGGGAGACTACATTTGGGGGCTGATTCGTGAAAGTGATTTACAGTATAATCGTAAATATCGAAAAACTACTCACTTCTAAATCTTTTGTAGTAATTTTTGTATTACTTTAGTATAAATACATGTTACTTTTGATTCATATGTTGTTTTTTTCTGACTTTATGTGAACGAAAAGACACTAATTCTCCCGTTTTCTCATTTAAAATAGGTACATTTTACAATATCACTGTCCTGGTCACAAAAGCAAAGTTTGTGGGGAATAATAGCCATTTTCTACACTTTTTAGGCATAAGCAATTACGAAATAACACTTACTACCCAGGAACAAAAATTGTGTTCCATCGTGTTATGGTTGTGATGTCTTTGTGTGACCAAGAGAGGGCAGTGGTGAACGATTTGCCGTGAAGCCTTCGAGTCAACATTGACCGTGAATTATAATCCACTCGGTTACTTTGACTCACCTCAAAATTAATTATAGTTTTCCAAAGTTATGTTTGGCACTATTTTATATATATATTTTTGAAATAAAAATAAACAACGTTGAAAATAAATATTTCTATAAGTTAAAAGGCATGACTTTAAATAGAATAACACATTCAACCATAGCATTCCAAATAATTTCCAGCACTTTGTCAATCCACTGCTGGATGATCGGCCCGCTCATGGAATCTTGCTCTTGGGGTTTGTTTGACCATACCTTGCCATGCTGGTCTATTCTGTCTCTACAGATTATGAGTAATAACATTACAAATGGGCAAGAAACTACTATACCACCAACTACATTTGCTTAATGAAGCAAACCATGCTGACGAGGCTCTGAAAGTCATAACTGGTCCACAGTTTGTTAAAGAAAATGCTGATGGAAAACATTGGACACAGAAGACCCATAGGTTAATGGACCTAAACACTTTCATTTTTTGGTGCTTTTGCAGAACTGATCCTTATGTTACGCGTGGCTTTAGCGTGTAACACATTTTCTATATTATTTGAACACAAGCAGTGTTCAATTGCTGTTTATAATGTTACCATCAGCCATGATCTACCCACCGCTGTATGAAGAAGGCCTCTCCCTACGTCGTTGCATACCCTCAATGTTCTCGTGATGTCACAATCCGTCTCGCTCTTCCGCACCAGGGATCTCACGGCTCCATCTCAGCGGTGGTCGCCCGGTGAAGCGGGTTCCCTCCTTTGGCTGCTGCTCCATCACTGGCCTCTAAGTCCATCGGCCATCATCCCCTCTACCGTCATGTCCTGCCCCATCTCACATTCATTTACTGTCATTATAATCGACTGAACGTGTGTGAAAAAGAGCTTTATAGCTCATCGGATTCCTCCAGTATAAAATAAATAAAAATACTGATAATGAGAAAACACGTGGAACGGAGAACAAATGCGAATCAGAGACATACTTGTGAGTTATAGCTGCCAATGATTTACAGCAACATTTGCATCTCCATCGCATTGTTCTGCAGTTTTCTCCCCAGATTTCAATTGTTGAAGTAATATTGTGGATGGAGCAGTGGTGCAGTGATGAGCACACTGTGCTTCGAAAACGGTGATGCGAGTTAGATTCCTGGCCACGACGAACATGAGTGGCGAATGATACCTTATCCAATCCTGGGCCCCACACCTCGTTCGCAAAAACTGCACTTACCAATGTGGTGAAGTATGGTCAAGCAGCTCTCGTGACCAACGGATTGACACGGGGTTCTCATCATATATCTTGAAGCAAAAAAATACATAAGACATGCAGTGTGAAAAATAATATCTAAAATACAAAGAACATAGGCCTTTACACTTTCAAATATACATACAAGTATACGTGTGCGCGTGTTGATGTATACGTGCACGCTGATGTAAAAATGCAGCATCATAAAGTATTAGCAATGGCTTTTGCCTGTTAGGCCCCGTTTTTATGGATCACCATTAATTTTTAAAGAGCCCTTTTGCTTTTCTGTATTCTTCCACTAATTAATCAGCAGTCCTGACCGTCTCTGACTTTCATTACCGTAGCTCAATGCGGGGTTATGGAGCGTGATTAGCGAGCATTGAAATTATAATCAGAATCTATATTGAAAAATAAGAGGTTTTACCTTTTCTGGCAATAAAACATGCGTTAAGATTTCGATTTAAAGCTTTCGTGACTGCAGGGATTAATCTTCTGGGCTCTTTCGGTAAAGTCACGTAGAATGGAGATAAAATAATAAAAATAATAATAACAGAATTCTGTTATTAACAGAATTCTGTTATTATTATTATTTGTATAATTTTTAATAATAACATAATTTTATTCTGTTATTTTTATTATTTTGTTATTATTTTTAATAATAATAACAGAATTTTATTCTGTTATTATTTTTATTATTTTATCTCCATTCTACGTGACTTTACCGAAAGAGCCCAGAAGATGCGTTAAGATGTTGAAAACCTATTCATATTTTTCATACTTTGATACTGGCAAAAAAAGGTCCCATGATATACAATCTAGAATTAATCCTGGAGAAATCTGATGAGCTATGAAGCTTTCTTCAACAGATGTCCAGTAATAAAAAGACACTGTAATTGACATTCCACTCATATGGGACCGGCTGGGGTGCCTTGGCACAGAGTAGCATCCCTAATGAACATGGATTTTTCAATATGTTAGTAATAGCTGGCCAAGGGATGGGGCTCATTAATAATAAACGCATGACCAGACTATATTGCCCTGCTGCAGTGTGTTTTTAGTCGAGCAATTTTTGTTATTATTTTAATACATTCAAATTCTAATTACTTCAATAAATTAAAAAAGGTAAAAAAAACTGTGCATGGGCCCCAGTGGCCCCCTTCTAAGGCCCTCTGTTGAATTCTCCTGACTCCTTTTTCTCAGATGGGGAGAACGCGATGGAGAACACGATATGAATATTTGATTATGAATGAATTTGATTATAACCCAAACAAACCTGAAGATATGGCATGGGCCCTTGCCTCCGTGTCTTTAACACATTAACTGATCAAAATAGATTACTACACACCCACAGTAGCATGCAAAGACACGGGAAGCTCTCTCTACCCTACAGAAGATCAAGTGGATTTTTTTTTATTATCCACTCCAACCACTGGGTTGGCAATCTATGTACCGAATTGCGTGGAATGCACCCGGTCCCATCAGATTTAGGAAGTTAAGCAGGGTTGAATCAGGCTAATGCTTGGAAAGGCGACCGACCACCACTTTGTGGACAGTGGAAGGCAGAATAATTACGTCGCATGTATCAACCAGAGTGGTGAAGTATGATCAAGTGACCCCAATCACCCCGCAGTGGCGTGCGGAAGCTATCATCCAGCAGTGGATTGGCCACCACATCGTCCGCCTAACTTATTAATGCATTTCCATTGAGACCGTAGTCCCCAGATATTTAGACACTCCGGAAAGTAAGATGAACAACAGGCCTTGTGCCGGGTGTTAAACAAACGTGTACGAATCTGATCACACAAACACCTCCCGGACTATGAAACACACGCCCAGCTTTTGCACAGTCACAAAATCACTTTAAGATGTTTTCTTGTTCATGTTTTTTGTTTGTTGCGGTTGCACCCGATTCAAGAGCCGAATGGCTCACAGGGCTATACCAAATAAATGAACTATGAAAGACAAAGATCCCCCGTAGAGCCTGAACAGACTGTTGGGGAAAGTGCCGTTAGCGAGCACCTATGAAGGCCGGAACAGCACACGAGGGGGTGGGTGGCCAGCACCACGCCTTTTTACACACCGCACCAGGTACTCATTTGAGGTTGAGTCGGCCTAGGGGAAGCCCAGGACAGAGTTCAGATAATCGTCACTGGTGTTGGCCGTGAGCGGGAATCGAACTCGGGTTCACCAGGTTCGTAGCGCAGCGCACTAACCTCTACACTACCGCTCCCCATAATGTAGAGTGCAGTAAATGATACACCTACGGAACATGATTTGAATATTATTTGGTAACTTTAAAGGCGCATTGCATTATCAGGCTTGTCACATCCTGACGCGGTGTTTCATCATTTCCTTAATGTGCTTTGTGAGATAATTGCTGTATGCACAGACGTGTGAATTTTTCGTTTTTTACAAATGAGCACCAATTAGTACTAAGTCTAATCTGTTTTACCGAGGCCAA